CCTCCCTCCCTCCCTCCCTCCCTCCCTCTTTCCTTCCTCTCCTTGTTCCAAAATATAATTAGATTCTTAATCCTATCACCAAATATGTTTCCAGGCATTGTCTGCACTTATCAAGACTCCTTCCTTGTTTTCACACTTTCTGATAAAACTGTGGGAAAGCACAAGGCCAGCTCTAGTGCTCTCCTCCTCATTCCTGTAGCTTGATTTTCTATTAATCAATCCCTTTTGGGTTAGTTGTTCAACTAGTGCATTTACTTAATTGTTCGATCAAGCAGTTAGTTCACTTCCTCTGGCTTGTCTCGTAGACATTACTAATTATTTGAAAAAATCTCACGGTGTGCCAAATTGGGTAGACCTCTGTGCAATAAAACAAGGTTATTATACAAGGAAACAAGGCTTTTAGGCCATGGACCCGAGTCTCCTGGACCAGTGATAAATCAGCGGGATGTTTTTAGTGGATCCAGAATGTTTGGTTCTAGAAAGGAAGCCTCTGCTTGAGAAGGACATCAGGACAGTAGAGCAGAGGATGACAGGCACCCCCAGGCAAGTCAAAGACCTATTCGTGGTGAGCAGAGAATTAAAACAAAACAAAACAAAACTGTATCTGCGGGCATTTTTATAATTTAACATTTCCAGTATTTTTGTCCTGTACTTTGCATTTCCTGTTAAAATGCCATGAAGCTTTCAAAAGTAGCTTCTTTATTTAAAAAAAGTAGAGTCCAAAAATAGGCATTAATCATCATCAGTCCTTGGATAGCAAAATGTGGGGAAAAGTTTCAATGAGGTGAAGACCAGTGACTGGTAGGGCTTACTGGCAGAGGGAGAAAGCCTTATGCTACAGCAGAGTAAAATTAAGACTCAAGTCAACTCTACCTGGTATTTTAAATACAGAACAATTTTGCTCCAGCTGCTTCAATTTATGGGTATTTAAATATATATGCATGTATATATATATATACATATATACATGCATGCTCACATATATGCACATATCTGCCTTATAGCTGAGCCTGATAAATATCCTTTGTATACCAATATTCTGATAAATATCCTGTATTTACAAAGCATATCTAGACAATTTTTTTTAAATCACCAAATCCTGGATTCCTGGAAGCATTTAGGAAGGCACACGAGAAAATGATTTTAACAGGTTGATCTGTCTCCCTAATTCCTGAGGAAAAGAAAGTCAATGGAGAGAATCGACCTCCATTACTGTCCACTTAAAGCTAATCTTCATTAGAACCTTTTGGTAAGATTACAATCTTTTCATCAGCAGTTGGTAAGTCGTTATAATATTATAGGTGGTTTTTCTCTCTCACTTATTTGTAACAATTTACTGCCAGGAACAAGGAGTTAAAAAAATGCCATTTTAGCTATTTCGGGAGTTTGCAAAGAAGCAGATCATAATGACATGGGATTAGCATTATTCCTTACGTCCTAAGACTGCTGCTCCAAAGACAAGCTGGAAAACGGTATAGATGAGTGGGAAGGTAAACACTTGACTAATATCCTCGGTGGAGAAGGAGAGATGTACGATGGTCGAACACAGCTGGGTGTTCTGCATCCCTGTTTCCAAAGCAACTGTTCGGCACCTGCAGGAAATGTGAAGAGGATATGTTTTAGTTGTTTTGTTATTGTACAACATTAAAAGCAGATACAATGAGAACAAGTACATATATATTCTGTCTCTGCTTTTAATGCATATGTTTAATATATATTTAATCAATCTATAGCTTTATGTCGAAAAAGTATATGAATTATTAATACATATTATATAATAACCTAATGTATTATATACAATAGGAATAAATATATGTAATAGCTACATATATGAGGAGCAGGCTCATTTATAATTGTGTTCCATAATTGGTACCCTTTTCAATTCTGTCCTTGGTAATAGTGCAGAACACGGAGCAGAAGCTCAGAAAAATACTCAAGATACAGTATTTCTTATAGTTGTTGTTTTACTGTTCAATTTGTTTTGTTCTGATTAAATCCTGATCAAATATCTACAAGGTAGAAATTATTGTCCCCATTCTATAGATGAGAAAATACAGAGATAGAGTAAGTGCCTGGCCCAAGGTCCCATAGCTGGCAAGTGGCAGGGTTAGCACCCAGCCCAGGTCCGCCTGACTCAAACAGTGCACTCTCTCCACTGTCCAGCACTGCTCCTGTCTTCTCCAACCTCACACATGCTCAAGGTCCTACACCTACTGTTCTTGCTACCTGTTGATTTAGTGGACTAGTAGAAGAGGAAATGTTTTTACCCAGTACCAAAGTGCTAAAAAAAAAAAAAAATGGGTTTAGCACTTATGGTAAAGTGTTTGCCCCATAAGTGCTAAACCCATTCTAATATTCAGCATCTTTGGGTGATGAGTTCAGCCTGCTGCTGGCTGGAGAAATGAGGGTTGCCTAAATGCTTTTGTTAGAGTCTCTCTGCTTGGAGAACAAAAATGTATAACAATGGACGAGCCCTATGACTTGCAGTCTATGGGAGATGGTCCAGAAGAATTAGAGCAAAAAAGAGGCAGTCAGTATTTTCTTTGTGCCCAATGTGCAGAAGTTGTGAAGGAATAAGTCTATTTAGACGACCTATTCAGAAATAGGTTGAATACGACCACAGGTGAAGAATTTTGAACTTGTTATCAGTGTTTACAGCTATTATGGGTTGATTATGTCCCCCTTACCTCCAAAGTCATATGTTGAAGTCCTAATCCCCAGTACCTCAGAATGTGATCTTGTGTGGAAATAGGGTCGTGACAGATATAATCGTTAAGATGAGGTTATTAGGGTGTGCCCTAATCAAATACACACATAGAGGGACAGTGACATGAAGATGCACAGGGAGGAGGCACCATGCACAAGCCTAGGAAAAAGCCTGGAGCAGACCCTTCTCCCACAGCCCTCAGAAAGAATCGATCCCGTGGGAGCTTTATTTTGACTTTGAGTCTCTGACACTATGAGACATAAATTTCTGTTGTTTAAGCCACTCAATTGGTGGTACTTTGTCACGGAGGTCCAAGCAAACAAATGCAACCGTTATTATAGACAAAAATTTCCATTCTGAATTACCAAAACAGCATACCTGTACCAGGACTGACCAGCTATTCTGGCCAGAAGAAACCCCAGGCTGTAACCAGCCACAGGAAATATTGTTCCTATAATCCACAGCTTGGGAACGATAACCCAGGCACTTTGGTACAATATCCCTCCGATCACGGCAATGATCACAATGAGGAGAGCACCTGTGATGGACCCGACCTGCAAAAAAGGAACAAGGGAAACTGACAATCGTGTGTTGAAGCAAATTCGAGTATGTTCGTCAGAGACAAGTCCAATTGTCTGTCTTCTCTTGGGGGAAGTGATAATGAAGTTATCTTTCTATGTATTTCTGGCCTGAAGGCCTGACTCAGCCCACTGGAAATACTGCTTCTTGTCCCATGATTTAATTAAAAAAAAAAAAAAACAATAGAACATATTGCATCCATGCTCAATTAGCCTGAAGAAAATTTTCTAGCTTGCAAATTATCATGGTCAGAGAGGAAGAAAACTTGCTACAATAAGAGCCCAGAAGACGTGGCTGGAGACTCGGCTCCTCCTGTTCTTCCTTTGGCAAATCATGAACCTTTTGGAACTTAAGTTTCTTTGTTTGTAATTGGGTATAAAATCTTGCCTCAACCACCTTTAATGGTTGTAATAATAATGAGAAAATGAGTATAAAACTATGTAAAAACTAAGAAAGGCGCATGCAAATATAAGCCACTGTTTTTATTGTTTTCTCATTTTCACGTTTTTAAAAAAATGTAGAGATGATAACATTTTTTTGTTATATAAAATTATAACATTTTTGTTATACCTGTTAAATAATTTGCCCATTGAGCAGAAAAATCTATCTATGTCATCTATATTCATAACCTTATCCACATCATCTAGACATCATCTAGATAGAATATAGTTAAAAAGGAATGAATGGTTAATACATATATGATATGATATGATATTGCCAATTGCCAGGCACTGAAATGGCCATATGGATACAGAGATAAGAAAGATACGTTCTATTTTCCGAGACAGCCGTCTAGGTATATTTTATAACATGAACCCGCATAATGGAGATAAGAGCAATGGCTGTGAGTACAGAATATAGGAAACCAATAGGTGATGTCTGAATTGGTTATCTCAAAGGGTGGATAAAAATTTGCTTTGTGGATAGGACAAGGGAGCAAATTCTAGAAGAGTGGACTGTCTGATTAATAACTTCAGGCCCCCCTAGAAGGTAATTAAATAACGAGAATAAAACACTGTCGTAGATGAAAAGACAATAGTATTTCAGTTCTCACTACGAAGCATTTAGCTGGGCAGCCCATAGCATGGGATACTCACTTTAAGTATGAGCTTTGCTTGTTTGGGCCATTTGTGATTAACAAACACTCCAACGGAAACAGGGATAACAAGTGCCACCAGAGAAATACCTAAAATGACAGAAAAGCAATGTGATCGATAGAACACAAAGCATCGGAGAGAGGAAAACCAGAGCAAGCAGCCTAGAAAAGGCTTAGGCAGTGTTTCAGTCTCCCTTCTTGAATATTCAAAACAGAATGCGGAGTTAAACACACGTGCACACACGAAGTCTACTTCTTTACCCGCTCCAGTAAATAGTTTAAAATCACTGGTAAAGAGTTGATAACATTGATGATATAAATTGTGTTTTTTATTGATTAAGCATATTCATGGGATACAAAGCTGACCATCACCACCTGTGCTGAAGATGTGATCAGATTAATATGATCAGCATGTCCATTACCACAAATCGTGATTATTCCCCATGTCCCACACCAAGTTAATCCCCGACCTCCCTTACCACCCTCCCTCTTGACACAGCCCTAGGTGTGCTCTCTCCCTCTGTAAGTCCAGCACACCACTGTGGTCTTTCTTTCCTTCCTTCTTTCTCTCTTAGCTCCCACTTATGAGTGAGCACATGTGGTATTTTCCCATCTATGCCTGGATTATTTTACCTAACATAATTTTCTCCAAGCTTATCCATGTTGCTGAAAATGGCAGAAATTCTTTTTTTTTTTTTTTTTTTTTTTTTATGGCAGAGTAGAATTTCTTTTTCTTAATCCTGGGTTAATTTTTTAGAGTTCCTTACACTGCAATATACTTTAGTTTCAATTTGTCAGTATCTTGGCTTCTTTCTTCTTCATATTCTAAAAATGCCTGCCAAAGTCTGTGTGTGTGTTTGTATGTGTGTTCTTATGGGGCAAATAAATGATATTTTACATTTGTTTGTTACTTCATGGTAGTAGACATAAAAGAAATATTTCAAAATACTTTAAAATAAAAAAAAAAAGTTTCAAAATTAGCTCAAGATCTCCCGGCATTCTGAAAGCTAATGACTTCTGGTTAAAACTAATTTTGGTTATTCAAATCTACAGCAGAGAGGTGAGAGAACAGGTTGAAAACGTGCTTTAAGTTTCCCATGGGATAATATATGTGGCGACCTCTCATGTAATTATAATTCTTTGCATCAACGCCCTCATCCGGCCAGGTAAGAGAGTCACACTTCAATTTCACCATGTTAAATTTACCGCTGTTCTTGTGACATATGGTTTGTTTCTCCATATTATTTAACACTCATTTATTCAATAGATCCTTTCACATAATAGCACCAACAACTTCTAAGTTCTCATGAGCTGTTTCTTTCTTAAACATCCTTTTCAAGCAGTATGAGAAAGTGGAATTGAAGAATATAATTGAGAGTCCACGTTGCATACTATTGGGGTAGATTGAACTAGAACTGGGTTACAGATTATAGATTCCAAGGCTGTAAATATTCATTTTAAATGAATACAGTAATGATAAAAACCTAATTTCCTGATAGCTTTTTAGCCCTCATGGCAATTACTTTTGTCCAGAAATTACTCAGCAGAGTTAAATAATGGCTAAGGATGAATACTAAGGGCAGGACAAAATAAAATAAAATAAAATAAATAAAAAAATATGGGTAGGGAGTAAGGACAAAATAATGGCACAAAACCTATTGAAGAAGAGACATTGACAAATGTACTGGGAAGATCCCTCAGAAGAATCCCCTCTGGGGATACAGGCATCCTTCTACTTTGGGAGGAGACTTTCTCCCTTGAATTTCTAGACCATTCCCTAATTTTGTGAAGTTTGTAGGCCTTAAATTAAAGCCATCTGATGCAACTTGTTTGTATTGTGGTAGCTTAAATCCAGGTGCAAATGCTGTGCTTGGAAGGCAAGTGTGGTTAGGTTTTGATAGCATATTTTTAATGTATTGGATATGTTTGGCCCTGCTGGCTAAGAGTTCTTACTGTTTGGGGCAGCCCAAGGCAACAGGGTAAACACACAAGCAGAATCACCTGCTGAAATCCGTGGCAAATTGCTTTTCCTCTCCTAGCCAGATGAGGCTCAGAAACTTGGAGCTGATGAGAAAGACACTCCCTGCCCTTCTTCACCCCTACTGTGTGTGGCTCTTGCCTATGGAGGTGGGTGTTGTGACTTTTTCCTCCCCGGTGGGAGAGGGATCTTGCTCTTTTCTCCCCCAGGTTCTGTTTGTTTCACTTAGTCCTCATATGCCCGTGCTGTCTATTATGCCTGTCTACAGCGATGAGGAAGCTTGTGCTCACAGTTATATCACTGAAGCCATCACTCGGTCTTTAACCAAGTTTACACAGTAGCTACAGGAGGAAAGAAAGATAGAAAGAGAAACAAGAATGAAAGAGTGTCATAAACGGATTCACAAGGTGGAATTGGAGCCAGATGGACTCGGAGCTGAACCTTTCCTTATTTACAAGATGTGGGAATTGGGCAAACCAACCCCTCAGAGTTTTGGTTTCTCCATTTGTAAAGTGGGTAAAAAGGAGCACTAAACAGATGTCAAGTTTTTGGTATGAGATGTTTGTAAATTTGGGATAGAGAGGAGCAGGAACAAGCACTTGCCGCAGTGGTTTTTTGCAGTGGTGCCTGCTGTACAGTCTGCTTCCTCCCCATCCAGATGTCACCCCTGAGGGGGCTCTGCAGCTGTTCCCCGAGTCATCAGAGTGTGTGGGACACCGCATGGAAGCTGTAGCAAACCCAATGCCTGGCCACAGAGCAGGGTGGAGAGCAGACCAGTGGGCTATTTCCAGCTTCCCAGTGATCTTGAGCAAATTTAACAATTACCCTGAGCCTCCATTTCCTCATTTATAAAGTGGTGATAATATCTTGTGAAGCAGTCACCTCATTTGGTTTCAACACTAAAGGACTAGAAAAACCAACAGCAAAAAAAAGGTTAGACTGGAGGATAGGCCTGGGCAAAACTTATGGTGAGCAAGCAAAGCTAATTTCTATGTTTTTCAAACTCCTCTTTTTTCGTTTTCCTTTTCTTTTCTCTTCTATTTTCCTCTTTTTTTCTTTTTCATGTTTTACCTCTTTTATGATGACCTCTTCCTCCATGGGGGTGCTAACTGATTTCTCATTTTCTTCACCTTTCAAAATTTGTTCACATGAAAGGATATGGTATAAGTCATTTACACTGTAGTTAAAATTTCAATATTCACATGGGGCATTTTCCAGAAGACAATGAATATCAAGAGGAAAACATCTTAAGCCTTAAATTATTTACTTAAATAGTGATTAATGTGTAATCAAAGTTTCTCACTCAGCAGGCAGATCCTGTGAGAGGCCTACAGTGTTCACTAATCAAACAAACCGCATGCTTTAACTCTAAGGAAGGTGTCCACTGAGAGAGCAGACAGAGAGTTAAGCAGCATGAGGCATAGGCAGATGGTCATGGAAGGTCCCTACAGCACCTGCTTTCTGGAGATTATGTCTGATATGAAAGAATTCCCAAGAGATCGGCAGAAGAATCTCGTACAGAGAAAACCCATACTGAATGGCATATGTCAAGAAGGTCCACTGTTTTATTTTTATCTTTATTTTTTTTGTCTAAGGTAGGAGTAAGGGAGAAAGAAGGAAGAGACTATCTGAAAATACTGTAATACAGATCATCCCTAATTCATGTTCACAAATTTTGGTCTAATTCAGTTGTATATGCATCAAATCACATTTAATCACAGAAACAATCTCTTTTCGAAATGAAAGGGATTTCAGTCCATCTTCCCATCCCAACAGGAATCCCTTTCACAAACACCCTGATGAATAACCATTTGGCTTTCGCTTATACGCTCCCTGCATTGGGAAACCCACACCTTTTCAAGGCAGCTCATCAGGAAGACATTTGCTTTTAAGGTCAGCTGAAAAAAGGCTGTGTAGCACCTGATGGACCTGGTGATTGTAGGGATGTACTCTTTCACCTGTGTCTCATCTTATTTCATAATAGTTCTATGGGAAGTGCCTGGCTTTGGTAGCTAGGAACTATCTTATTCTTCCCTTGACCCTAATTCCTGTTTTATACCAACAACGTAATCTCCCACCATCCTGTGTTCTCCCAGAAACAGAAAAGAAGCTCTTTTGGGATGGGGATGAGCATCCCGGAGTTGAAATGAGTGGAGACCAAGTCATCACCAGCAAATCTGACTTCCAGGGCATGAAATACAGACTGTGCCATTAAATCAACTTTTCATTCATTCATTCGTTTATTCATTTATTTATTTTAGCGGCTGGCTGGTACAGGGATCTGAACCCTTGACCATGGGTTTACCAGCACAACTCTCTAACCAAGTGAGCTAATCAGCCAGCCCTGAATCAACTTTTATATCAAGACGTGGCTCACAGTCCAGCGTTTTACCTGGTAGTTTCCTATTGTGACACTCATGATCACTTACTAGGTGCTCTATTTTGAAATAGTTTCATACATTTTTTTTTGTACTTCAATTTGAGTGTCTGGATGCAAACTCCTATTACCATGAACTAGTAACACCCTGGTCAAGGAAAAGATGGGGCTTCTACACCCCAGCAGTTGTAGCCTCCTCAGTCAAGACTGCTGGGAAGGAGGGGGATCCTCAGGTTTGCTCCTTTACTGGTAATTAGAAGTGAAGAAAAAGCAGGTTCTCCCATCGGTCAGGATTTGGAATGTCAACACTCATCCAAATGCAGAAGTGACTATAATGAAACTTTAAAAAAAAAATTAATTGTTTGTATTGTATGTGTTTGTGGAGTACAGTTTGTTGTTTCATCACGTGCATAATATATTGTATAATGATCCAATTGGAATAGTTAGCATATCTATCACCTAAACATTTATCATTTCTTCATAGTCATAACATTCAAGATCTTCTTTTCTGGCTCTCTTGAAATATACAATATAATATTATTAGCTATTTTCACTGAAGAGCACCAGAACTTATGCTTCCTATCTGACTGTAACTTCATAACTTTATATCTTTCTATTATAATGAATTTGTAACTGGGCAAAAACTGCCCATAGTGCAAGAAGGAAACAATGGCTGGGTGTGAGCCTGGTCTGAGAACCGAGCCGGGGGCATGCAGAGAGTTTGAAGGTAATGTTAAACCGTCTTGCAGAGGGAGGACTTACCTATGTTGTTATAAGGAACTACGATGGTCCCAGTCCTGGCCCACATTTTGGTGTAGATATAGAGGCACAGCGGCATCATTCCAAGGGCGAGCAACGTGGAGCATGTCGTCATGCTGACGCTGCAAGGAAACAGGAAGGTTGATGATGTGTCCACCTGTGTTTTCTAGGGGACTGGCTGCTTCAGTTTCAATCTATGATTAGAAAGTTCTGCAAGAGCCTGTCTCAACCAGTAGCATCACGTCCAGTATGGGCAGAAATATACACGTGCCCAGGTTTGTGCAGGACCTGGCCTTGGGCAAAATGGTTCAGATTTGGTGTCTTTCTATTTTGCCTTGTGCCATTCATCCTTTTCAACTTGTTCTCCAGGGTCAGAGAAAGTGTTTCATGATGGTTTAAATTCATTATTAAACAAGGTACAAGGTGCCTGGACATGCCACCCTCAAATCTCCAATCAGATAACAACAAACATGTTTGCGCCAGCCAAGCCCACAAGAGACTTCCCTCATCTGACATCACTGGTGTGAGATGGGCCTCCCTGGGCCATTGGAGGAGAGTAAATGTCTGAGCGAGGAGACTTCAGTGTCTTTGCATAAAACATACAAATTATTGCTCAAGTGATAGCTTGAGAAAAGAAGAGGAAACTGACTTAAAAATAATAAAAAAAAACAACAAGAAAACATGCAAGCAGACAAGGTAGGCCTGGATTCTCAGGACTGAGTAAGCGGCTAACAACTGGCCAAATTCAGAAGAACTGGGGTCTGGTATCATTCCTACCAAGAACATTGTATTTAGTAATTGGATCTGTCTGAGTAAGTGGATCTTGCTTTTGACATGGAAGAAATAATATCAAATGATGTTGTTTTCAGTGCTGTGACAGCAGGTGGAAGAGAGATTTTTGGGTAGTGGGTTTCCCTGGTCCTCTTCGAAGTGCCCTATGCACAGGACCACATTCTCTGGATGTAGAACAGAGTGATGTAGCACCTGAGCTCCAAAGCCACACGTTGACTGGGTTGGAAGCAGGAGGCACCACTTAGTATGTGTCTTTGAGCAATTTACTTGACTTCTCTGCCAGTTTCCTTATCTAAAATGAAGATCAGAATCATCATTACCTCATAGGCTATCAGGATCATGTGAGGTAATGGGATCCAGTATTTAGAACAACGCAAGGCACTCGTTAAGAGCTAGTTCTCATTGTGACTTATAGAGCCACAACTGCATGTATTTTGTGTTCTGCTGTCATATAGAATCAGCATATTCCTTACAGGAATATTTCTAAAAGGCCCTTCTCCAGTAGCTGTAGCGTTGAGACTATCAGAGTAGTAGTTTCTTAAAGGTATTATGTGTGCCCTTGAAGTAAAATGCTGAATATTTACAGCACCTCTCCTCCCTCCCCCAAACAACAACAGCAACTCTTCACTATGCTAAGGAAAACAGCTAAACGTAAAGAATTTCATTTCAATGCATCTAACTAAATTTGCACAGTTTGGGCAAAATAAAGGATAGGGGCAAAGTCTCTCAGGAGGCTTAACTTTCCTAATAATCATTTTTTTAAAATGAGGAATGACTTCACTTAAAATGAGTTTAGAGGATTTAGATTAAAAAATTCCTGTATTATAGAGCTAAGATATTGTAACAATAACCAATGCTGGAGATGTATTTAAAACACTTACTAAGAAGTTCAATCTACTATGGTCATAGGTTGACTTAATTTAGAGACAAAATAGGACGCTAAGGCAGAGTCCTACACCAGAAAAATAAGTTGGCTATTAATAGGGATTTGTCCTACTTATAACTAAAGTACTGGAGTGTGTAAATGATTTTTCCTCTGTCCCTTCCTTCCTCTCTTTCTTATCTTTTATTTTTAAAAATATATTAGAATGGCTTTAAAGTTACCCCGTAATAAAATCACTTTTATTCCTGTGCATCCAATATGTTTTTTAGGTGAGGAAGGGGTGAGGGGTGAGGGTAGGATTTATAAACTGGATCACAGTTTATGAAGAGAATGCCGAAATTTTTCGGTTTTAAACTATGAGTACAATTTTTAGAAGGTAGTTTCGTTCTCTCCTTGTTTTTTTTCCAAATTTCCATGTGAAGGCTTCAATTCTGAATTATTGCTAAGACAATTTATGAAGTTGTATCAGGGTTTTGAGATTGGTGAGAGCAGTTTTGTAGAGACCATGAGGGACAAGATAGGTGTTGGAAAAGGAAACGGTTTAGGTTTAGTGGGCGATACGATGCTGCAGATAAGATGCTGACGATAAGATGCCGCAGAGGGATAAGAGGGACTTGAAGTTGATTCTCTTTGAACCGATATAAGAACAAAGTCAAACCACTCAAAATGAGATTAAAAATGATGCACAGATGAAGAATTTTAAGGAACAATGTAGGGGAATAAAGTAACAAAAGGAAAACATCATTTTACAGGAAAGCATTTGGATTTCTATAAAGGGCACAGATGTCAAAAATAGAAATACTGCTAGGAATTTATATTGGAATGAGGAAAAATACTAATGCTTAAGGAAATAAAAAAGTCAATTGGTTTTAATTCTTGATTTTAGATCTATTAATTGCCAGAGAGATTTTTCGTGTGTGGAAGTAAAAGAAAGAAAGAAGTGAGAAGTCTGAGAATATTAAGGAATTCATTGAAATCACTGATAAGGAATGCCAAAAAATTGTAATTGTATTAGTAGCGAGACACCGAATTTGAAGGATCAAGGGAAGGGTATACAGGAGGTACTAGAAACTGAAGAAATAGTAAGTGACAGAAATAATGTAGCTCAACGTTTATAAGCCTGGGTAGGAGTCAGTGGATAGTTCTGGATTCCAATTCTGACTCTGACATGCACTGGCTCAATGACCTTGGTCAATGTTATGAACCTTAATTTTAACATCCATCAAATGAAGAAAATAATTGTACTGACCTCAGAGGATTCTTGGAGGGTTAAATGCATTTTGAATACTTAGCACTGTGTATACACTTAATACTGTCTAATCAATATTAGCTAGTAAAATCAAAATGTGCTGTTCAGAAGAAACAAACCTTGGTTACTTTGAGAAAGAGCCAAATGGTACTGAGTTAGTTTTCCCAGAGTAGAGAGGAGATGGATGCTTATGTAGTTGAAATTGTAGGGATTACTTTGAATTTGTGATAAGCCAAAGGGTCAGAGATCTTGAATAACTAAAATATCAGTGATTGCTGAACTGGAAGACAAAAAAAAAAAAAAAACAAAAAAAAAACACCATAGTATTTGGCCAAAGAAAAAAGGATGTGTTAGGAAAATCTAGAAAATAATAAAAAGGAGTGTAGAAAGTGGTGTCAGTGAAGGAAGAAATCGGGGGAAACTGAGAGAAGGGTGCTTAAGAATGGATTCCCCCGCCCCCCAAAGAAGTCAAAGAAGGGAAAATAAGAAGAAAAAGTCTTTTCATGGTGTGGCTGAGGCCATCACTAAGGATAGAGAGACCAGATATTGCCTGTCTCTGGGGACAGAGCAGAAACAAAGGAGGTAGGAGGTTCTGTGTCTCCTGAAGCATGGGCCTTGGTCACCATCAAATTCCCCTGAAGGTCATCTTTATTTCCCCCAACACTTTTTGTGCATATGATGCCCGTGGCACAGCTATAACTTAGGTGAAAATATCCCTGCACTGATCACACACACAGACAACAACTTTTCAGGTCAGAGAAGGAGCTGAAAAATCACATGCAATTTCATTGAGCAATAATTAATTTTTTTATGTCACTAGAGATTGCAAAATGCAATGGCTTCCCGGGTTCAGAAAAGATGATAAGGTGAGGAGAAATTGTTTTGGTTTCTTCTTCCAGGTACCACATCCAGGAAAGTTAAGGCCAGGTGGGATTGTTTTGCTAGCATTGTGTGGCATCAGCTCCATTACTGAAGGTAACTGTGAGTATAGATAATCATGTCTTGACTGTCATGGCTAGAATTAAGTGGAGATGGAGATGGTAAATTTCCAAGAGTTCAGAGCTGGAAATGGAATGTTAGATAGGATTGTGTCTAAATAAATTATCAAGAGACTATTTATACTCACTCCAGAAGAATAAAAAGTTTTGGAAAACTTACTCAATAGCTGAGGTTTTACTCTCAATTCGTTTTGAAGAGATATTTGAACATTTTTTTCTCCTAACACACAGAATGCATAATGCCGTCGTCTTATATGGCAGCATAATTTAACCTCTTCTCAATGATTAAGGCCCATTGTGACAAGCATTATTATTTGCTGTGCTAAAATACAGCAATATCCTCTGGGCTGTTGTGTTTATAGTGCTGCTTGTCCCTAGAGTAAGCTATACAGAGGCTGCTGGGCTTTGTCAGTTGTCTGCTTAGCTTCGTGGGTGTTCTGGTTTCTTGCTGCTGTAGGACTCAGGCTTGCCTTTCTGACAGCCTGCTTCCTTCCCCACTTCTTGCTCCTAATCCTCTGTGTGTTGGGAAATAGCACCACAGAGCTTTAGAATTTAAAAAGGTAAGTAGGTTCTGCACAAGGAATTTTTATGAGATTAAGTGGAATTTATTTGGGGTGTGCAAAGTCTTTTATTGGGTCTTCTTGAGTTCTGGATAGGTGAGGCTTCTAGACAGGTGACTATCAGACTGAATAGATGTTAGTGTTATACATACTTTGCAAGACAATGGGGATCTGAGGAGTGCACACTTTATACAGTTAAATAAATTAATGCTGTATGTCCCATCATAGGGTTTATACTGACTTGAAGAAGGATTCATTTACATTGATTCAGCTGGAGGTTTTCTACCAAGATTTGATATTTTACTTTTGGTTCTGTTTCTCAATCTTTTTTCAAATGATATTTACAGGAATTGTTATACTTGGTAGACAAGATTACGTAATCATCCCCTGTTTCAAGAGAAATAAGACCACAGAAAAGGGTAGCAGAGTTTTTACGTTAGGTTTTAGTTTAAGCTTGCAGGAGAAAATCTATTTCAACAACCAAACAACCCAGCATCACATATACTTTTTTTTTTTTTAATCTTAGGAAACCTAAGCTTTATGTGGCATTATGTTGATGTACAAGACTTCTGTGTTGTTAGAAAGTTACAAATATTATATAAACACTGTTTAGTGGAGGTCAAAGCCCAATGTTCAATTTAATTTACTTTCCTCCGTTTGGTAGGTGCTACCTTTTAGAATTCTCACTTCTGCATGCCATGTCCAGGTCAAAAAAGTTGATGTTTAAAAGACTTTATTGGTATATTGTGGTTCACAGATTAACTAAACCTAAACAGCATTTGCCATCCTTTGTTCTTTTACATGAGTTTCCTAAAAATACAAATCTATTGCAAGGTAGATACGGTATTTCCTTAGGTGAAAATTAAGTGATGTGTAGGTATATAGTTTGTATAACTTTTCTAAAGCTTCTGGAGAGATTAGCACCAGCTGAGATGAGACAACCAGTTCCTAATTGCTCACTAGGCACTGGATCAATCCAGTAGTTACATTTCTATACTTCCAGCTTCTCTCCTCTGCATATAGTAGTTGGGGAATAACAGAGCTGATTGCCTACTATACAGTATTCAGTGAGCACGCATTGCATTAACACCTGGATGGTCTGCAGAAATGCATACCTTTAGCAGGAAATGAGGAATTGTGAGGTAAGAAAATAGACATTTGTCTATTCAACTTTTAGCATTTTTTTTTCCTTTTTGTCTTTTTTACTGACTGGTAATGGGATCACAACCCTCGGTGTCGCGCCCGCACCGCGCTCAGCCAGTGAGCGGGAACCGGTCTCCACATGGGATCTGAACCCTTGGCGGGAGCGCCGCCGCGCTTCCCAAGCGGCGCACACTCCAGTGCGCCACCGGGCCGGCCCCAACTTTTAGCATTTTTTAAGGAATTTATTTTTTAATTGAAACGTACTGATTATACATATTTGTGGAGTACAGAGTTATGTTTTGATACACGTATACAATGTTTAGTGATCAAATCAGGGTAGTTAGCAAAATCATCATCCCCCAAATTTATCATTTCTTTGTTATGAGAACATTTGAGCTCTTCCAGTCATTTGAAGGCATACAATTAATCATTGTTGATTATAGATGCCTAGCACTACTGTACACCACTCGAGCTTATTTTTCCTGTATAGCTGTGATTTGGGGTGCATTAACCAAACTCTCCCTATCAATTCTTCCCCCCCAACTCCTTGGCCTCTAGTAACCACAATTCTACTCTACTTCTGAAAGTTAAAGTTCTCAGTCTAGTCACATTAGTGCTTAGTCTTATTTCTATTACTTTATTTTTTTTCCCCCAGTGCTAGTTCAGACTGGCACAGGATGAATTAAGCAAACACTGCAATTTAGATTACTCTGTGGGGTGTGGAGAAATGATTTTCTATTTTATAGTAAAGTAAGCATAATTTAAAAATAAAGCTAGCTGCTGTAGGTTTTTTTTTTTCTTTTAGTGCCAGTGGAGGTAAAACGAATTTCAAACTTTCTGGGAGATAGTCTGCCCAGAAAACTGGCTTGGTTGGTGGAGCTGACTATTGTCTTGCCATAGGATCTAAGGTTTGATGAATAGTTTGATTTCACCATTGCTTTCAAAGGTCCTCTTCATTACAAATAAAATGGTTTTGTTTGTTTTTGTTTTTGTTATTTCTGTTACCAACAGGACAAACTTTTCCAGCTGCAGCTTGTAGCTTGGCAAAGATTTTTTTTTTGGAAAACTTTGAATCTTTTTTCAGAGATAAACAGCAATTATGCAACTACCTGTTAACCGAGCTAGATTACAGAACACGAACACAAAGTATCACTCCCAGATTCTAGTAGCTCAGCAGCTGTGCCAGAAGGCACATGAAGGCATTTATTCTCTCCTGTTTAATTCCTTCGTTGGATTTTAGATCAATGACAGGTCAGACGGACATTGAAAATACCACGGACTTCTGAAAAGATTAATTGATCGCTATGACAGTTGGACGTGTAGATATCTTACCTCAGGTCCATGTCGCCATCGACCCAGTAGGCCAAGATGTTGGAGGCAGTCCCTCCGGGGCAGCAGCCCGTGATGATAATCGCCACGGCCTGGATAGGCAGGACTTCAAAGGCCAATGCTAGGATGAATCCCACGAGAGGCATGATTCCAAACTGACAGAGGAAGCCCACGCAGATGCCCCAAGGATGCCTTATGTGCCCCAGGAATTTGTGGAGTTCCACGTTGCATCCCATAGAGAACATCACCATGGCCAACAGGCATGTGAGCACAGTATTCAGGGTCACACTCAGAATGGAATTGAAATTGCTCTCAGGTACCACACAGGATGAACCATTGCAAATGGTTGCGTTGGCATCACAGTCCATCAAATTACTCATTGCTTTGTTTGCTGCTCAAATGGCCCAGTCCCCCGAAGCACCGGTCCCCTGGTCCTGGCTCTGCTGCCAGTGAAGTAATGTTCCCTTCAAGCAGGTCAAACTTTTAAACCCTTCGTAAACATGTGTCACTTTTCAAAAGCCACCTTAGAGAAGCAATAAAAAACAATAAATGTGAGTATGTCAGTTTCAAGAGGTAACGTTACAACATAGCACAAATCATGAATCATAAAAGTCTAGCAAAATTAGTAGTCCAGACAGAGAGTTATATTTAATCATTAATTGGCATGATAATGAACCACACCATATACAAAGAGCTGTGTTAATGTTTAATGCAGGGAAGGTTTGTTGAATGATTTCAGTTAAGTGACACTTAAAATCAACTCTAAATAGTACAGAACATCATGGGGGTTGAGCTGCAGGAAAGCATATTGTACCCTCATCTGCATTTAAAAAGGGAGGATGGGGTCCTAGAAAGTCGAGTGCCCTGTGCTAAGTATAATCGCAAATTTGTGTCGGATTCCGAACTGAGTGAGGCCTAGATCTCCAATTTCCTCTTCCAGTAGTTTTCCTACTGCATCAATCTATTTCCTCGTATTGGTCTATAGTGTCGATAATGCATACATAAATGGAAGAATCTTCTAGGAACTTGATGCAGACCTGGCGGACAGTAAGATTTGGGAGAATAGAATGTTTTTTATTTCTGTTGGGAAGGAGACTGACTTGTTAGAGCCATCCTCAGTTACACTTGTAATTATGGATGCGTTGCCATAGTAACAAAGTGCTTTATAGATAAAGACAATATAATTATTTTGAGGGATGAACCTCAGAGGATTAGGTCAAAGTGACAGGATCTTTGTGTTTGGAGTCAGGCATTGAAATTAGAATTTTTTTGCGGGTGGGGGGGAATTCCAAAGGAGATTGGTTTTTGCAGATGTCAAATAGTCAACCTCATTATGGGCAGAACGGTGTCCTTAAGTATACAGGGAAGATAAAAAAGAGGCAGAGGAGAGATTGTTTTGTTCTCAGGAGTTTATAACTTAATTATCAAAAGTCAGGTTAAGAATAAATGGAATATTTCTATCAGGATTCACAATTTGTAGGACAAATTCTAATTTATTACTCAATTTAATAATCTTAAATTAAGTGAGATTAACATCCCCATTTCACAGATGAGGACTTAAGGGTCGAAGAAATGAAGTGCTTTGTTCAAGGTTACCTGGCGGTAACTGGAAATACCAGAACTCAGCTTTCTATGAGAAGAACATAGTCGGTTTGGCCTAGTGGGGATTTTGAATAATACCCTTAGAGCATAACTTCTCAAAACTCAGTGTGCATACTTGTTAAAATGCAGATTCTGATTCTGGAAGTCTGGGGTAGGCTTTTATTTTCTAAGAAGCTCACAGTTGATAGTGAAGACACTGATCTTGGAACCACACTTTTGAGTATCAGGGTCTTAGAATAGTAGATAACAAAAATTTTACCCAAACTGGTGAAAACTGAACTTACTGTTCATGACTGAAAGCAGCATTTAACTCAGTGTGGAAAAATTAGGCTTTTTTATAACTTGAGTAAACATGAGCTGTGGCCAGCAGAGGGGGCCACCGAGCAGAGGAGTAAACAGAGTTGAATGTCCCAGCTGCTGGGAGCCTGGGGATGTCCCTTTAATCTGGGATTGAGGTACTGGGAAAAACCTGAGCCAATTTCTCAAAGGGTGACAGTAATTTGTACTCCTTGTCAAAGCAGCTCCTGTCCCAGGAGTGCACCTCTTCAGCTGTCGTGTTCTACTGCCTGCCTTTTCTTGCCCGGTGAGCTGCCATTAACTCTGGCCTGGCTGCTTGCCCATTCCTGGAGGATCCTCCTGTTTCTTCCACTGCCCTCCCGGCCCCAACAGCTCAATGATTAGCTAAGGTAATTTCCTAGGAGGCTTCTCCCCCCACTCCTAGGTGTGGAATGACTTGGCCCTGCCCATTGGCTTCTCCAAGCATCTCCTGGGACTGGCCTCTGGCCCATCTCCTTGTCAGGTGCCAGCGGGCCCCAGAGCAGATGAGCCAATGCTTCCCCTTCTGCTGTCCCTTAGCATTTGTCAGCCTAGCTCTCTTCACGGCAAACACACCGTGCGCAGTGTTGATCAGCTTACTCTCTCTCTGCTCTGCTTTCCTAGAACCTTACACATCGGGTGAAAGTCAGAAGGGCTAGTCTGGGACTGAACAGCAAATAGCCTCTTAACCAGGTCTAGGATGCAAAGGGATATTTGAGTCCTGCAAACTGGAACGATTTTGATTTCGACAAGGCTCCAGACAGGCACATTTAGACCCCCTTCTCTGAGCTCAAATGAGTGTCCCAGGGTGAGCCTTACGCTGTGGGCCTTGCTTGTGCGGGGTTGGCCAGGTGTCCTCCACACTAAGCCTTTTTGCCCACAGTGCTGGAAGCAGAGAAGAGAAAGTGAAAAGAGCAGGAAGCAGGTTCAGAACAAAGCTCTTCTCAAATTTCAGATGATTTGCTAAGGAGATTTTAGGCTCCCGGGGGGCAGAATGCTTTGCATATAGACAACTTGTAAATGAGCAGTCTGTTTGACTAGACAGAGTGCTACAGTTCTGGTTAAAAAAAATGTGCCAATGCATTTCTAATTTTCACATTGTTTTTACATAAATTTGCACTTTAGGCTCAAGAGGCCATATATTCAACTATTGGAGTGATTCACAATTAATTAGTACCCTTGACTTCAGCTACATTGATATCCAGACGTTGAAAATATCTAACTATACAAAAAGTCATTTCTTTAATTAAAACACAGTCCCGGGGAACAGATGCACACCTGAGGGGGTATTCAGCAGGTTGGGTCTTGATTTTCATCGTCCTCTTTCTCAGTTTTTTCTGCTCAGTTTCTTCATGCCATGGGCTCACATACAGGTGATCCTCAAGAAACCAGCAGTGAATTACTGCTCATGGCCTCCAGGGTAGAGATGTGGAGGACTGTGGTTTAACTTGACTTCTGAGGCTTCCCTTTGGTGCATGTGTCTGGGTTTGGAGAAGCCAGGGTTCAATCGCTTTCCAGAGTGTTTGCCCTGAAGTTCACATGTTAAAAGATGAGCTTTCTATTTTCTGTTGTGTTTCATCAGAGATCAGATCAACAGCCATCTGAGATTTGAGTGATTCTGTTGAACACTTTCCTGTGAATGAAATTCCCTTGATCTCCCTGTCTCTTCTTTCCAGTTCCTTCCTACAGACTGATCTTTTCTGGAACCCAAGAGTCCCACAATTAGGGTTATTTAGAGTCACTACTGATCCTCTTTGAGGCAAAAAAATCCTCTCAGGAGAATGGCTCATTGTGGGGAAAAGGAGAATAATTTAGTCAGGCTCCCTCAGCTCAGGTCTGGCTGGGGGTTTGAGCAGGACATTTCTCATAAAGAAGTTGTGTGTGGGTGGAGTTAGTACGCATGTGCACCAATGTATCTTTTTAATTTTGGAGCTATTGTGTGTTCTGCAGTTTGTGAAGCAGGCTGGCCAGCAGAGAGCTCTTGTCTAAAAATAGAGCATGTTTACTCTGCTGGCAGCTGCTCAGTTTCAGTTTTTCTTTGGATCTTGCCAGTAGCAGTTGAGTTTTTGAGTTTCTCTTTGTACTGCTTAGCTCCTAGTGTTGTTTGTGCTGAATAAAGACTATTCCTTCTTCAACCAAGGCTCCAAGGAACATTTTGCTTGTTACCTAGCTCATAAACCTGCGTGTGAAGAGTTGGTGAACAGGCCTGAGGGGTCTGTGAGCTCCAGACCCTAGCCCTAGCTCTATATTTATGAATGACAAGCTATTAATCTGTGAGGAGTTAAAGGAAAACGGCAGCAAAGTATTGAAGAGAAAAAAGCAGGATATTAGGACCTAGAATTTACTAAATGGAAATAACACTAGGCTTGGAATCAGAAGAGCTGGGTTCTCAGTTTGCTTCTTTTGAAAATACTGTGCAGACTGTTAAGGCTTTTCTGAATGAATGTGAATCCACACTAAAAGTCTGGAGGATGGTACCCCTTTGGAAAATGATTAAAGCTAAATGTATACCTACCCTATGACACAGTCATTCCAGTCCTAGGCATCAATCTACAAAACCTACAAATTGAGTTCCCCAAAAGACATGAACTAAAATGTTCATAGTAGCTCCATTCAGAATAGCTCCAAAATGGAAACCATTCAAACGTCCATCCACGGTAGAATGGGTGAATATATTGTGATATATTCACACCACAGGCTTCTGTACATCAATTAGGATGAATGAGCTACTACCATGAGACTAGTGTTGAGTGAAAGAAGCCAGACACACACAAAAACAGGCAAAGCTAATCTATGGTGTTAGGAGTCAGGAGAGTCATCACCTTTGAAGTGCAGGAGAGGAGAGACTAACAGAGACCATCAGTATGCCATACTTCATACTTTTTATAAACTTAATAAAACAACAACACAAAACCAGATTTGATAAGAGGTGATTGGGGAAGGATGTATGTTCAGAAGGGAAGAATATATATATATATAATGGACTTAGTGCTTACTCCAGAAGGCAAGAGACAACAAACTTGAGAAGTAAGGGTTGAATGAGAGGGAAGTGTACATGGAAGGTGGGGGGAGGGGAGGGCTGGGAGGTGGGTATGAGGTTGAATACTTCACTTTAACAAGGGTTGGCTCTTCTAACCATCCTATGTCTTAGCCACTTCATTAAATTAAACATTTTATAAATGTCTAAAACATCAAGCTCTGTGAACCTGTGATAAAGTAGTTTTTGGTTAATCAACCCTAGATAAATCTTCAAACAAATCCTCTTCAAAGAAGGCAATCTTTGTGTGCTTTCTGGTACATTAATAACACATAATCTTGTTGACCTAAATTGAAGGTGACCATATAAAGCATGGAATTTATTAAGCCAATATAACGATTGCAACTGGGGAAACTCCAAAGGGGACCAGCAGAGCTTAGTATTTTATAATCACAAGAAAGGGTGAGAATTAAAGGAGAAAGAGAA